CACATGTTTAAGGTGTACAATTGGATAAGTTTTGATATATGTATTTGTGAACCTATGAAATCATCACCACAATCAAGATAACAAACTTACTCATCACTCCCAAAAGTTGCTCCCTGATCTTTGGTAATTATTTCCTGCTGTTCCCTGCTCCACCCTCCCAGGCAGCCACTGATCTGCCTTTGGTCATTTAGAATACTATAAATTGAATCCTATTAATGTTTACTGTTTTTGTCTAGCAGATTTCAAACAGTACAATAAATGTGAGATTAATCATGTTGAATCTCCATGTCTTTGACTTCTCTTTCATAATTTTAATCTACTTGTTCCTTCATGCTTTATTCCTGGTGAATTCCTCAAGACAACCTTCCATTTCACAAAATTGTCACATGTGTAGACCTATTTGTCCATCTATTAACTGTTTTAAATCTTAACTATGTTTTTCATTTTAAAGATTTCTAGTTGGCTCTTTTCTCATCTATCTATTATTGTTTTATTTCTGCCTGTTTGGTTTCATTATTTCTTGTTATTTTTTATTTTTTACCCATAATTTATCACTCTGAGGAGTCTAAGCATATGCATTTTCAGATCTTTTAATCATTTCTCCACTATTTTAATTTTACCTGAATTGAATTAATCTCCTAATAGTTGATGTTGTTGACTATCTTTCTCAGAATTTTATTTCTTTTCGTATATTAGCACTTTGGTTTGCAAACTCTTCTCATATTACCAATTCTTCCTCTTCTTTTCCCACTCCCAACATCCTCTTCCTGTTTAGGAGTTTAGTACCTGCTTTCAAATGGTCATTTAAGACCTTTTAATCCAGAACCAGTTAAAGGAACGTTGGCAAGTCAGTTACCCAGCCAGTGGGTGGCTCACTTCAATTTGTTTGTTAGGTTGCATTTGTGTGTATGCAAAAGGGAATTTGAAGGCATAATCTTAAAATGCTATATTGACTGAACTGATTTTTTTGTCAAATAAGTGGCCACTTTGAAGATAACTCTTTTGGAGAGATAATGATATAATTATTTTCAGAATCAAGTTAATATTAGAATTTCTAAAATAAATTATTTCTAGAATTCTATGAAAGTAATTTTCTTTTGCTCATGAAGTGTCTCCAGAGACTTTCATATTTTCATTTGCCTCTGTAAGAACAAGATTTCCAATTTCAGTCTTGGTAATTTTGTTTTATAAACCATGGACAAGAGGCCTTATCTATTTCAAGACAGATAATACTGAAACTCATGATATCCAGAAATGTGTAGGGCCTAGTGAGAAGGTCAATTACAAGCATGTCTATGTCCACCAGAAATCTATTCGCTGTGAGAATTTTCACTGGAGGATTGCCTGGGCAGGCAAAAGGTTGTTGGGTATTTCTTATTTCTCTAGAATTGTCCTGGAATTAAAGCCAACATGTGACAAACATCACAACGGAGCTCTGAAATGGGAGCAGTACACACCCAGCGCTATCTGGGAGTGTGGAACAGGGTGGTGGAATTCTCTGTAAGAGAGGAGGGGTAGGCCTGTTTTAATCCAAGTGCTTCCTTGGAAAAGCAGGTTGCCTGGAATCTAGTACCGTGTCCCTGACTGGGGCATTTTTCATTGATTCCACAACTGGAAAACTCCCAGGTATGGGCTTGGGGCCACTGAAATGAACAATTGCCCTTAAAGTTTGACTGAGCTTGCCCAGTGATAATTCCTTCCAGACAAGAAAAGTCATATGAAGACTGCTTGCTAAACCATCCCAAGCTAGGTCCAAAGAAATATGGAAATTTAATTTTTGAACGTTTTCATCTGAATTAAAACCTCTTGGGTGATACATTGGAAAACATTTCTTTACAGTGAAAACGTGTTTGTCGGCCCCTCTATATACAAAGTTCAACTTTAGGGCAAAGAGAAAAAGACATGATATAATCGGGTCAAATTATTGGTTATAGAGAAGAGTTCCCTGGTTTGGACCTCATCTGTTACATGAAATAGATATTAGATCTTTTATGCTGCCAGTGCCATTTTAATCACAGCAATTCTTTATTCTAAGTGTTTTCACCTTGAAGATCTCTCCCTATGGTTTCTCATTTGTTTCGATATTGTTATGTAAGACACACAATAACATCAGTGAAGGCAAGGTTGACTCCAATTCAAAGGATTCAAAAATAAATAAATGAAACACTAAATATAGAGGTAGTTTTCTAAATTCCTGGGTAAAGAGAAGTAGGGGTGAGAGGGAAAGAGGTAGAGCAGGGATCCCTCCAAATTACAGTTTAAATGACAAAGACATGAACATGGAGATTCTACGTTTCCTCTCTTTTCTCATTTTCTCTTCACTTAATTGAACCTTTGTAAATCTCAAAACTCACTCTTCAAAACTAACATTCATGTTTGCTGGGTATGACCTGCATATGTTTTTGACAACTTTTGAACCACATGAAAAAATCAGAGCTTTCATTTAAAAATCAAGATTTTTAACTTCTCATAAAAAAATCAGATCTAGCAGGCCAGGCATGGTGGCTCACACCTGTAACCCCAGCACTTTGGGAGGCCGAAGCAGGTAAATCAACTGAGGTCAGCAGTTCGAGACCAACCTGGCCAACGTGGTGAAACCCTGTCTCTACTAAAAATATAAAAATTAGCTGGGCATGGTGATGAGCACCTGTAATCCCAGCTACTCGAGAGGCTGAGGCACGAGAATCACTTGAACCTGGGAGGCAGAGGTTGCAGTGAGCCAAGACTTGCCATTACACTCCAGCCCAGGCAACAAGAGTGAAACTCTGCTTACAAAAAAAAAAAAAAAAAAAAAAAAAATTCAGATCTAGCTATCTTGGGTCCATCATTCATCAAGTCAACAACTTGTGGCCTTTAGGTAATGGAAGAAGTGCTCCACTTAGCCACAGTTCTGACCTTGCTTGCTTCCCTTGCTATATTAACAGCTGGGTCCTTCAGGCATTTGCACTGGTAATTCCTTGTGTAAAACATATTATTTTCTGTGTTCTTGTTTGTTAATTCAATAAATGTTAATCGAGAATCTCTGTTCTAAGAGCTGAGGGTACAGCAGCAAACAAATAGATAAGTCCCCTGCCCTCACAGTGCTTACATTCTAGTAAGGAGGGTCAAATAATAACAAATAAAATATATTAGATGATGTTAGATGAAAAGTGTCATGAAGACAAATAAAGCATGATGTGCCAGACATTCCTACATCCACTTGGACACGTAGGAGGATGACACTTCCCTGTCCACGTGTAGTAAACTACACGTGGTGACTTTGGTCAATGAAATGTAACTTCATTGTGTGACTTTGGCCAACGAAATGTAAGTGGAAGTGATCTGTGTCATCTTTGGGTGAAAATCTTTACTTCCTGGCCTTGACGGTCCACCACACTTTCACTTGCTATGGAAAGTGTATTGGTTTATACTGATGAGGATTTATGAAGGCGGACTGCCTAGGAGAGTTGCTTAACTTTCAGCAGATTTTTCATAGTGATAAACTCTTTTTTTTAAGCCACCAAGATTTGAGGATTAGCTATTATGGCACTATAACACAGATTATTCTGACTGGAAGCACAGTGAGGAGTCAGAAGTGATGGGAATGGGGTGCTGGAATTGTAGATAGAGAGGTCTAGGAATTCCTCTCTGAAGAGGCAATGTTTGAGAGGAAACGTGATTGAAGCGAATGGATGAGTTCATGGACTGTGTAGAGGAAGACCATTCCAGGTGGAGGAAACAGTACAGAGCTGTGTACATTCTTAGAATATCCACTTGGAAACTCAATGATTTTCAGGTTTTACTCTTCTCGCTAAGGTTTTATTAAAATGAACATACTATAGTAAATGGGATAGTCAGTAATTAGTATTGCTAGCATTTTGTTCTCCACCTGGAATTTTGTGTTAGCTTTCACCTACTTTCCAACTGATTTCAGCCCGTGGTTGGAACTGTGGAATCCATCAACACATTCATGTCGATTCTCAGCAGCAGCAAAGGCCAGACGGCTTTCATTGGTGTGTTCAGATCTCAGCTTATTCCCAGAGAAAAAAAAAGGCAGAATAACACACTCTGTTTTATTTTGTTTCCATTGGCCTGTCATGACTCTGTTTTAGAGAAACATATAAAATAAATCAACTCAAAGACAGACAACTTAATGTGTTCTTCAGCCATGAAAATTGTCTTGGCTGTACACAATTACTTTTCTCTCCATGTGTCATACCAATATTACAACGATACTACGAATAGGCACTCTGTTTCCTTATTTGTCAGTGCCATTCAGCTACTCAATTTATAATAATTCAAATTCCAGTTTTTTATTGAAACACATAAAAGCAAGTGTTTTTTATGTTCTATTATGCAACTCACTGTGATAAACCATGATTCCGCATCCTTTAGTCACCAAATTAAATATGAACTGATGATCATAATGATTAAGATAAAATGGGTAAATCCTTTTTAGCCTCCTCTTTCTATTATTTACTATTTTCTTCATTCCTGAAAACACCAGAATTTAGTCATTTCTTGATTTTACGTTTTTTAGTGTATAATTTGCATTCTTGGAGCCCAGAAACTGTCTTCTACAAACTTTTCTTCGTAGTACTATGTAAATGTACACAGGAAATGTTCAGAAAACATCAGCCAAACAGAATTTGGGAATTCCTTCACTGACTAGATATTGATGTTTGATTCTGTCCTGCTTTGTACTCAATGGATATTTCGGGGTTTCCATTTTGGAAAACTATTTGGAAAATTGCAAGCCATGAGAAAAGCCTCTAAGCTACTCCAGGAGCACTGAGGACTCTTCATGGGTTCTTATTGTTAAAGAGTTTAACCCCTCAAGTCACTCCATTTTTACTATATGCCTTGAACTACAAGATGTGTTAAGATTTACAGGATAAGGTTCTCATCTCTAAAAACTCATGGTCTCAGTGGAGAAGCAGTATTTACACACATGGAGCAAGTTGAGAGTGCTTGAATGTGGAGTATAAAGTGTGTGATACTGACAAGAATTTCTATTGAAGATCAGGAAGAGCAGGAGCAAGTGAGGATGGAGACGGACTTTGCAGAATGGAAGAGAGGCAAAGACATGATTAGAAACAATCTACATAATGAGGAGTCACTTTTGGGGTAAGGAAATCACATGAAGTTACCTTTCTCTTAACTTTTGCTTAACTCTTACACAATTACATAGATTTAAATCTTAAACTGGACCAGAAAAGGGGCAAAGTTAAGAACCTTTTGAGTTGCTTTATTTCTTGTTAGTGGTCAAAAAATGAAAATAGCTCTAAATAGGGAAAAAGAGGGAGTGAAGCAGGCAAGATGTTAAAATAGCATAAACATGTGAAGGAGATGGAGAAGATGTGGACCTATACATGCTTATCAATAATGTTTCACCCAAGAGAGTAAAGCAGGGATTCAAGGGAATGATGAAGGTAAGTAGACCTGCCTAGTTAGCTTTTCCATATGTAAAACAAGAATACTATTATCTCATTGTCTTATATTTAGATTTCATCCTGGAATGTTAAACACTATTTTGTGAAGCAGTGTACAGTAAAATGAATAGCATAAGTTAGTGCTAACTTATTTTAGTGTTATAATACTACAGACTAAAATAAAGGTTGCACTTTTTCTTCCCCCCTTGTCACATGGTCCAGAGGTTCACTTGAGTATACGAGAGTTTAAAAATAAAGCAAATTCTCAGGCTGAGGCTAAGATTCCAATAAAGACAGTATTATTTAAATTAGGTCATTTAAACTAGTTTTCTTCTAACTTTTCACTGATATTGGAAATAGTAAGGAAGTTGAAGTTTTCAAAAGTGAGGGGATATACAGAGAGAGGGAAAAAGAAGGAGAGTGAAGTATCTGGAGGGCACCAGAGTAGGACGCTGGGCAGTGGGAGGGCACGGGTCACCTTTGGTAATTGGTCCCCAAATGTGGGAAAGTGTCTAAGAATGGGGCATGAGAATGAAAAAAAATATATATCTTTATCTACTTCACAATTCTATTTATAGTAGGACTGACTTCAGAACAGTTAGAAGAAGGGTTAATAAATGAAAACTTGAGTATGAGGTAGGCATAAGGCAAATCCCTCCAGTGGTATCTGTCACAGCTTAATGCGTAAGTGGTCTCTCTATTGGATAACTGCCAGGGGAGGGAGAAAGGGAGACAGGGATAGGTAAATTGGAAAGGCTGGTCCCTTGGTTCTTCCTACTAGTCTTATCATTTTTCTGGGTACATAGTGGTGGATTCAGAGCATCATAAAATCCAGGAACATAGAGAAGGAAGGGTAAGTGGTAATATGGGCAGCAACGAGGCAACAACTAAAGAATAGTCAGAAACCAGCCTGTCAGTCTGCAGAGCAAAGCAGGTGGGCTTTTGTCTGGCCTGAAGCTCAGAGGCTGCTGGCTTTTGGCCCTGCTCCTTTGCTCAGAGATGGGAGGGTGGACCAAAAGACTTTGTGACAAACTATTTTACAAATCTCCTACTCTTCTATAGTTTACATATATTCCTCTTGATAACAGCATGAATATATTATTTTTTTTTCAATAAATCATGTAGTAAATGGTGAAAACAAGTCACACAAAAACCATAAATTTTTGAGGACAGAGATTGGAATTTGTATAGGAGAGACCTACACTTTGAATTGCTTGCCATCCGTCTCCACCTATATGATCTCACCTACACTTCAGACCTGGTAATACCATAAGTAAACTCACCATTTTCTTCCCATGGTAGTCCTGTCTACAAAGTTCCCTGTTTCTTTAATGATAATACCAACTTTATCACCCAACCCCCCCCAAATGGAAGTGCTGTTTAACATCACTTTTAATTTCCTGTACTACTTCCAATCAGTTTCCAAGTCCTATGGGATCTTCCTCAATACATCCAATATGCTGCTCCTTCTCATCTGTCCTGTGTCATGCTACTGTATGACTCTTCTAAAGGAATGGTTTAAATTGTGCCACTTTGCTGCCCACTTCTTTGTTCAAAAATTTGCCAAGATTCTCCATTGACTATTAGCTCATTTACACTCTCTTCCTTATTTCTACATGGTATTTAATGACAAACACAGGAATTATTTTTCCACCAAACTAATATTATTGCCATATTTCCGAAAATATTGTAAACCTCAAAATATATTGTTATTTTCCTTTAAACATTTGACTCTTGACAAATTTAAGAAAAAAAGAAAAGTAGTCCTTTATATTTACCCATACTTTAAATATTTTCATCTCCTTATATCTTCCTGTAGATCCAATTCCAGCCTAGTATTATCCTTCTTCAATCTTAATATCTTTCTTTAGCACTTCTTGTAGTGTTGGTTTGCTTATGAAAAATTTTCCTGGGTTTTGTTCATGAAAATATGTCTATTGCACCCTTATTTTTGAAAGATATTTTATTGATAATAGGCTTTAAAGATAACTTTTTATTGTCTTCTGTCTTCCATTATTTTCTGATGAAAAGTCAGCTGATTTCTTGCCTTTTCCTTCCTCTAACTTCTTTGAATTTTTTTTAACTTTGTTGTGCTTAGTTGCATATCTTGCTGTAGTTCACTGAACTTCTTGGATTTATGGGTAGCTGTTTGTGATCAAACTTGGAAAAAATATTGTCCTACATTTCTTCAAATACTTGTTCTATCCTAGTCTTCTCTTTTCTTTCTCATACAGCAAATACGCGCTTTTATACCATGCAATACTGTCCCAGGAGTCACTGAAGCTTTGTTATTTTGCAAATTTTTTTCATTTTATGCTTCAGATTGAATGATCGTATTGACCTGTCTGCAAGTTCAGTGATCTGTTTTGTCACGTCCAGTCTACTGTTAATCACATGCAATGAATTTTTAATGTATGATATTGTATTTTCTTTAGTTCTAGGATTTCTGTTTTGTCCTTTCTATGGTTTTTATACCTCTCCTGAAATTTTCATCTTTTCACCCATTATATTATTTTTTCATGTAGTTCCCTTAGCATATTTCTAACACTTTCAATTCTTTTTCATCTAATTTCAATGATTTTGTCATCTGTGAGTCTGTTTATTTTGACTAATTTTACTTTGACTCTAGATAATATTTTCTTGTTGACTTATATGCTTAGTAATTTTTAATTATATACTGAACATTGTGGTTGAAACATTGTAGAGATATGAATTCTGTCATCTTACTCTGCAAGGGAGTTTTGTTCTAGTAAGGAGTTAAATTAATGGCATATTATCTTGAACCAATGTTGGTTTGTCCTTCAGTCCTAGGGTGAATTTCTTAGCCCTAGAACATAGTTTTTACTCCTAAGACATGACTTTTCTGGCTTTTATTGAAAGTTTAAAATTTTTACCAAGTCCCTTTAACCTCAGACTCTGTCTCTCCTGCATTGGGCAGCTGCTAAAATATTTCTTAGATCTTCAGCATTTTAAGAGCTGTTTTTCCTGCTAAGTTTCCTGGAGTCTCACCTCTCATATGCGTAGTTCAGCAGTCAATCAAGGATTAAGTGAAGTTTATATGCAGATTTTGGAGTTTCCTTTCTTTGACTCTTTTTTCTCTGAGATTTTTTTCCCTTAATTTCCAGCCACTATAGCAGTCCCAACTATGTTCTGACTTCTATAATAAGGGTGTGGTTTTACTTCTAGCTCAGTGGGGCTAAGGACTGACCCCATAAGAAAGTCAAGGGTGGATCTTGACCCTGACGGGTCCTTTTTTAGGATCAAGTCATCTCCATTTTGGCCTGCTTTTGACTACTTTTTAGCATCTTCAAACAATTGTTTTTAATATTTGCTTAGAGTTTATCATTGTTTTCTTTGGGAATGTTAGTCCAATATTAGATACTCTGCAATTATAGGACTCCAGAACCTCTCTATTGGCTATGAATGAATTCTAAAGCATTAGCCTGGCTTTCTGGATCTTTCAAGAATAGTCGTGATGGTTAATTTTATGTGTCAACTTGACTGAGCTAAAGGATGCCAGATAGCTGGTAAAACATTATTTCTGAGTGCACCTGAGGGTGTTGCTGTAAGAGATCAGCATTTGAATCAGTAGGCAGAATAAAGATGATAGCTGTCATCAGCATAGGTAAGCCTCAACCAATCCACTGAGGGCCCGAATAGAACAAAAAGGTGAAGAAAGAGCAAACTTGCTCTGTCTGCTTGAGCTGAGACGTCCATCTCCTCCTGCCTTCAGAAATTAGTGCTCCTGGTTCTTGAGCCTTTGGAATTAAACTGAGACTTACACCATTGGCTTCCCTGGCTCTCAGGCCTTCAGCTTTGGACTGGAACTACAGTATCAGCTTTCCTGGGCCTTTTGCTTACAGACAGAAGATAGTGGGAGTCTTCAGCTTTCATAATAGCTTGAGCCAGTTCCTTATAATAAATCTCTTTTGGTATATCTCTCTATTTTTCCTATTGATTCTGTTTCTCTGGTGAACCCTTACTAATACAGTCCCCAGTCTTTCTTTTTAACTTTATCTTCTATTTCTCTCTTCATTCATACTTAATTCCTGTTTATTTGATGTACTCAACATTCCTCCAAACTTTGTATCTGTGTCTTTGCTCATCTTTTCCCCTCATTGCTTCTATCTCAACATGTCTGAAGTCTATTATTAGATTGTTTATGAAATAATAACAGCCTTCTTCCTCTTCTATGATAGACTCAGGAGACAAGCACAGGTTGTATGCCGACTTTATTATTGATAAAGTTAACTGAAGAAAGAGGCATTAAGGATTTTTTTTTGCATAACAAAAGATAGATCAAATCAACGGGTCATGCAGAAAGACTCGTACTCCAAAGGGTCGAGCAGGAGAAAACAGAATGGGCTAAGCCAAGCATGCTCAGTTTCTGCTCTTGAACTCATTATTTAACTCTCTGTGGAAAGTGAAATGAGTGGGGAGAGTGTTCAGAAGTGTTATTCCAGCTGAAGTTCTTCCACATGGAAACATGAAGAAAGGAGAATAAACATTCCACCCAACACTGCCAAATATTAACCAGGATCCAATTTTCAGTCATCTTTTTGCAAATCCTTCCCTGTCCCATTCTACCTGGATGTAATCTCTCCTTGCTGTAAATGCTTATTTTACTTTACTTAAACTTTTCTTTATTCTATTTTGTAAGTATAATAATTTACTTTTCTCACTGTCCCCCTTCCT